CCCCCTCCCCCACCAGAGTATTGTTCTCACTGTGGTAATACTTCTCTTTCCTGTCTAGTCATAGTGGCATTTCTTGCTGTTCAAGTAAATGCAAGGCCCTTATGTGCTTTGATGTTAATTGATCTGCTCACTCACAGAGTCAGCCTTGTAAATGTCATTGCTTCAGCTGTGTTAGTGCACTAATCAACTCCTAAGCACACAAAAAAGCACTGCAGACACATGAGTTTCAGTCCCCAGCATCTGTTCATAAGCCTTTTATGCTCAACAGTAAAGCTTCTTGGTACAGTATAGAGAATAATTTCCTGGTGTACACTATATTCTACTGTATACTGCTTAACAATTAAGAGAACTATTGAGGCTCATAGAAACATATACCTTACACTTGTTAAACTCTGGAGCACGTTTTTTTACTACTTATTTTTGCAGTTCCTGCTAGCTCCTGCTATGGTTGAAAGTCTGACAAATTTTTCACTGTAGTTCTCAATTTCAGTGCACTACACTACAGCAGACTGTGCAAATGAATGGTCAATGAGCAAACAAAAATAACTATTCTCTCTATATACTGAAACAAGAGTTTGCTAAAAGATACACTGTTTGCCATAAGCTGCAAGCAGTAAAATATGTGATACAATGTGTGTGAATAAACACCGAAAGAAGCAAATAAAACATCCTACTCCAGCATCTGGACTAAGATAATGCATACAACAACTGCACAGGGCAGTTCTCTCTTCAGATCATTCTACAGCTTTCCCATTAATTGTGCTAATTTAATAATGGAGCTTGAAATCAATGAGTCTTCTAAGAAAACAAGATGATACTTACCAAGTAAGGACCAAGGACCCAAAACAGGTTGTGAACATACTTTATTTCACTGTGAGAATGGGAAAGGACAATGGGTCAGGCAAACCCAGGAACTTGTAATTTCCTTTCCCCAGACTAAAAGAAACTTTAATAGCAATACACTGGTCTTTCCAAATGCCCTGCACTGTGTGTACTCTGCTCTGAAACGGAAAGAATAGACTTAACCTAAAAACACCCAAACAATGAAGAGAGAGAGAGAAATGATCAACCATTTCTTACAGTCCAAAAGGCTGATGAGTGAGCATGGGTTTTGTTTTACCTTGGAAGACTTTCCTCCTTTCTTACTCTCTTTCTCTTTAGCGTGGACTAAGATGGCCTTCAAATCTAGATGATACTGAAATTCTTGTAAAGCCTCAGTGGATTCAAACTTCTAAAAATATATTAAAACTTGTCTCCCAACTGGACATCCACTTTCTGAGGTGAAAAGTTACTGGCGAGATGAAGATTCCCCTTATTGTTGGATACAACTACTGTTCAAGTAACAGTGACCCTCTTACGCTGAAAATTATTTTTTTAGATATTGCAACTTAATGCTAACCTCCATCTGGTAACCTCAATTAATTAATCAAAATTCTCACATATAACTTGTTTTTCAACAGGTTAATGTTAAGTAAAACTCCAAAACATTTCTTGCCAAAACACTTTAACCGATCCCAAAGATCAATGCTCATATATGTTAAAGACTTGGAAGGGTATCTTACTACTTTTTCTGTAAGAGAAATATGAATGTCTGAAAATAATTGAACAAGGATTTATTTTGTTTCTGCACACAAAATAGGATGAAAAAAGCTATTTTTTAAAAAATTTATATCAACACTTACTCTTATTCTATCAGAATTCTGTGAAAAAGTCAACACACACACAAACACACACAACTGCAGTCAATTTTCTTCCCTATTCCACTGAATTACAAAATTTAAGAGTTTAAGGATGATCCACAATTTGCATTAAATTCAACAGTAACTTTGTAATTGTTGTCATCTCTCTTCTATGCATATTAATCTATTTGCTGTTTTCTTCCACGCCTGTTCTCAATGTACAATAAAGCTTATCTGGTATTTTTAGGGTAAAATGATTCATTTCACCATTTCTAACAAAACAGTGCAACAGTCATACTAGAAGTATCATGGGATTCTTCCGCTCCTGAAAGTCAATGAGGTTTTAATCACAAATCTCAGAAAAGTCAAAATGGACAAAATTCCATATGTACATGGTATAACTAAATGATAGGAAGTTGAACACACACCAGTAAGACCAAAAGCTTTTAAGGTTTTTAGATTTCCAAACATTTTCATATAAAATAATCAATGAAAATTGAAGTTTATCCCCTTCACATGCATCCCTGCCCCCTCCCCAACATCACCTGCCTTATGTCAAAAAGTAACACCCCCACTTCTCTCCCTCTCCAATTGCACATTAAGACATGGACTTAAAAGAACATAATTTTTCAAGTATGCTTCATGCCAATCGTCAATAAGAGTCATAACATTACTGAAAAAGTACACTTGTTCTTGGGAAGTCTGAGAAGAACTTCCTGTTGAGTGTGGTCAAACAACATTTTAAATAAGAAAAAAAAATCCCCAACTTAATCACTAACTCACTCCCTCAAAAAGAGTAAAGAGTAAAATTTTCTTTGGACTTACAGAAACAGTATTAAGATTTACCATCTGAATAAAAAATAACCCCAATAGGAATTTAGCTTTACAGTGCTGCACAAACTGTATGCATTAAATAGTAAGTCATACAGATACTACTGTTCAGCTCTACACATACAGACTACAAGTGGCATATAAGCATACATATGACATACTGGCCTGTCCAGAAACAAGATACATTTTTTAAGGCTGGCAAACCTGAATAAACCTTTGCATCCAGAAGTACTTTTTAAATTTTATTACCTCTTCACTGGGAGATTTGAACTGCTAATAGAAGGGTGATGATTTCACCAAGCAACTATCAGCCATATGAGAGCACAGAGCTTTGATGTGAAACTGAGTACACATCCTCCCATTTGATCATACATAAACAAGGATCCTGATTTTAAGAAATAATGAACAGTATGAAAAAATGCTCATTTTTATAGACAATAAATCCTTCTGGAAACACAAGTAGGTTATTGAACAGATACCAAAATCTGGAAACTGTAAAAAGCATATATGTATGTGAGTGTGTACATGTATATATACACAGGTTCGTGCATATGTCTATATACACACACACATATACATGAAATATCATATATTTATTCCAACATATAACTGTAAAACAATGTATTGTTTTTCTTTTTAAATAAAGGGGTTTAATTTAGTTGTAAAAAACCCAACAAAACTAGAAACAAAACCCCAAAACAAACTAAACAGACCAAATACTATACAAACAAAAATATTATGCGAATATTTTTATGGTAAAAGTGAGTCACATACTGGCAGCAGAGGAGTGTTGAAACTCACAGTAATAAATAGCTCCAAATTAAGAATTTTCTACAACATTTCCTTAGAAGACAGGATCAGTATTTCTTCTTTTACGATGATCCTGCAGAACACCTTCACTCATATTTATTTAATTTTGTGACATTAAAACAGACACAAGAATGTAGACTATAAAAGATGTTGGATTCAGGACAGTATACATAACATTTTTTGTTAAAAGTCCTACTGGCTTATTCACTAAGGCTAGACAGCAAGTCATATAATTCTATTTGGTGCATTTTCTACCATGGTAAAAGATCAATAAATGAATAGAGCCAAGGACCTCTGGTCCAACCTGCTGTGGTCCACCCCACTGTGACAGACGGGAAACAAAGTTTAGGACCACAGTTTAATCCCCAACTTTGCGTCTTGTTTCCTGGAACAGCAGAAGTGGAAACAAGACTGTAGTGTTTTAAGTGACCAGAGAAAGATAGCAAGAAGTGGCATTTTGATATGAATAAGGTTACTAGGCTTGTGATAGTACTGCATCAAAAGAGCACACATGGGACCCCACTTCTTGCAACATCTGGTAGTGTCATTCAATGACTCATTGACTTTAGAATACATGTATGCAATAATAAACAGATCAGTTATGTAATAAGGCAGTGTGTTGAACATGCATTCATCTTGTGGACTGGAACACCACAAAGAGAGATACATGATATCATACACATTCATTAAGACCAAGTATTTTTGTTTGTATTTGCGTGTTTGTTTTTCAAGGCTATCCAGGCAAACTCTTCCAGAGCATTTGCTTCCTGAGAAGAGTGGTCTTCTGAGTCTTGTCACTTTTCCTCTCCCTTATCAAGAGATGATGACTGGCTTTAAGCAAAAATAAAGCTGAAGAGGGTGGGTTTGTTTTTCCCTCTTATTTTGGTTGCATCATTCTGGATGTTCTGTTTAAAGAACAGTTTTTAGATGCAGCCAGATGCTGCTTCCTCAGGAGGTTCCAGATGTTTCCAGGTAACTCTGTAGTTTACGAACTGTGGTTTTGTCCAGTGAGCAAAGATCAAAATCAAAGGTTGTATTTGTGATATGAAAGTGTCCCGTTTCTTCAATAAGATTTACTATCTGAAGGAAAGAAAAGATACAGTTGAAAATTTCAGCAGTTCTACATGCCCACTGAATGTATTAACATGCCACTAAGTATCACATGAAAGATATAAAACAAACCCAATTGCCCCAGTACTTGCAGGTTAAAGCATTAGCCTTATCATTTACTTCTTTCTGACAAAAATTATGGTCCAGACTACAGTACCTCATTTGTTTGCTTTTTAATTAGATCATCATCAACCATAATGCCAGCCTAATGCTGGCATCTGCTGTTCCAGCATACATTACCACTGAGAATATATTTTTCAAATCTTAAAAGAAAATTTGTGTATTTTCTAAGTCAGTCTTTAGAAACGAAAGAGCAACACCACTTGCCTTCCCTCAACCCTCCCTGCAAGCACAAATTGAAAAAAAAATGGGCAGATCTCTATCTAGAATATTTACTGTGTACATAGCTGCTAAGCAGGTTACTTTAGAAAATAATTGGCATAAGCCTTTCTACAAGCAAGCAGAAATAAATAAATAAGTCCTTATAGAATCTATAAAGTCAATATCAAACAAAAAAATGTTTGCAAGAGCTCTCACATCAACTGTTAGCTCAAATACTAGCAGTTACTTTTTGAGCAACAGACTTAAATAACTTCTTAAAAACCAAATAAACAATGAAACACTCCTATCAATGACATTAAATAACTTCTTCTGGTGATTATTTAATATATAACCACTGCTTTCACTCAAACAGCAAACAGAAGAGCTATTAGGAGTTCTCAAGAAGAACAAGTACTAAAACATCTCTCCTATGAGGAAAAGCTGAGAAAGCTGGGACTCTTCAGGCTGGAGAAGAGAAGGCTCAGGGCAGATCTCATTAATGTGTACAAATACCTGAAGGGAGGGTGCAAAGAGGAGAGAGCCAGGCTCTTTTTCATTGGTGCCCAGTGATGGGACCAAAGGCAATGGGCAAAAACTGAAACACAGAAAGTTCTCCCTGAACATCAGGAAACACTTTTTTCCTGTGAGGGTGACTGAGCACTGGCACAGGTTGCCCAGGGAGGTTGTGGGGTCTCTGTTCCTGGAGTTACACAAAAGCCATCTGGAAACGGTCCAGGTCAACTGGCCTCAGGAGGCCCTGCTTGAGGAGAGAGGGGTCACACCAGATGACCTCCAGAGGTCCCTTCTAACCTCAATCATTCTATGATTTTGTGAAATCAACATTACATATCTAACTTGTGCTTTTCAGCAGTTTTGACATTTTTAGTCTCTGAATTGTAGTCCACATTTTTAAAGAGTGGTCAGACTCAACAACCGAGTTGCTGTAACAAGTAATGCCAGATATGTTAAGTTCTAGGATGTGCAGCTACCTAAAAAAATCTATTCAGCATCTTGAAAAGCCAAAGCATTATGTGTCAGATAGGACTAACATAGTGCTAACATACAATGGTTACGAATCTCTTATGTGCTGTTTCATTCCAAAAGACAGAAATCCCCAGTGAGCACACAGAAAGGCACCTCATCCTGAAGCAGGCCTCTGGACCGTGGCTTGGACTGACAGAAAACTGTTCTTCTGCTCAGTCTTTCCAAACATCCCCTCTGCAGCCCTCAGACTAGGTTCAATGTCCTGTTTGCACCCTTCAGTTTGAAACCCGTTTAGTTCCAGGGCTCCCATATATGTACTTCCACTGAAATCCTGCTGCTAGATATTCCTTACAGTCAGAGTAATGAAGTTCAAACAGCAATTCCTTTTCCACAGTTGTAGATGTATCCACGCATGGTTTACAGAGCATACCTTATTATGGCAAATCTGGTAGGAATACACCAATGTGAAAAAGAACAACTAATTTAAACCCTTTTGTAATTTTTTGCTCCTCATTTAATTATATAAGCATTTTTTCTCAGACCACAGAAGAAAAGACTGTGATGATAATTAAATAACTTCATGAGTATTGTCAAGTATGGAATGACACAGCCCAGGGTGGATCACACAGAAAAAAAATATATAAAATAATAAGAGGGAAATTACCATCACAGTAAAAAAGTCCCTTTCTCATCACATCCCATTTTCCAGGTTGAAAAAAAATAAAAGCAAAATCTATGCAATTTTGTTTGCAATTGTCAAAAATTCCCAAAGTACTTAGGAATTAGTCTGCTCTTATTAACACTTCATTTAAATCCGTGCCTCTCTGCTTTATTTTTTTTCCATATGGGAATTTTTAGTCAAATTGCCAACTTCATGTGTTGCCTTGATTCACAGATTCTTGTAACACTATTCCATCTCCTACTGTTCTGTAATTATCATGAGAGAAAAAAAAATCAAATGGGACAAAACTAACTTTTACCAAAAGGAAACTTTAACATGTGTTACTTGGCATTCTCATTTTTTGGCAGTCTCTGGAGCTTCTTCTAAGAAGCTGAAGTGTCAACCCAGCCTTCTTTTATAAAGTTAGGAATCTAATCTCAGGCTTGGTCTCCAGCTATCCCCTGTGTGATAAATAGATGGCTGCACAAGAAGTTTACAGAAGCCAAGGTCAGGATGGCTATGCTGAACAATTCTCCATAAAGCTTCCTTGCACTACAGTGGAAGGCTTTCACCTCTCATAACCCCCCCACTAATAAACATGATTTTAGAAACAAGTACTACATAAGTGTTAACACATGGATTTTCAAACAGCACTGCATATTTTAAATAACTGATAGCACTTCTATTGATCAGGTTCTGCTTTGGGCTTTTAAGCTCTAGGCCAAGGGAAATATAAACATCTTAAACATATCCTTCATCCAGCCCTCAAGAAATGTAGCCACTGCGTCAGGGCACCTGGTAAATCCAACTGAAATGAACCTCAAAGGTTTTAATGGATGTACAAAAATGTATCAAGATAAACCTAGACAGCCCAATGAAAAACACCTATGTATCAGTCAATGAGGAATTCATGTCTTACAGTATTAGCATATGCACCCTTATGCTATTCAGAAATACTTGAAAAAGAATAAAAGGTTGAAATTGGTTGCCAGGAAGTCTGACAGTTAGAATACTAAAAACACAGCATTAAAACGTTTTATTCTGAGAGCTCAGGCTGCAAAGAACAAAAATATCCCATTTGCTCCTGCTCTAGTAAGGTTTGCTTTTCTGCTGTAACATACATCTTTGTTTACATAATGTCTCTCCAGCTCAGTTTCATCATTATCCATCATAGTGCAACTATTTAACTGCCTTTAAACAAGCAAATGAGTGTGTGTTTTTAAGGAAGCCAAAGTGCAGTTAATGACATAGTCATTTTTCAATTTATGGAGGGTTTCAGGCCATTTGATAGTTTCCAGACCTGCAAGCTGCCCACTGCAGAAAATTCTCACAAGATAGTTGCCATCTGAAGTAAAGCACCATGTGGACATGAGCAATGTAATTTTCAGCAGTGCTGCACACTCTCAATTTCTTCCTTATGCCTGTGCGGTTTAGTGCACTGGTTTTAAGGAGATTTTTCACCAGATGAAGATACAACTTCTGATGCCTCAAAATAAGAGGCAAAGCCTTACCAGAAATCTTGTTGCCTTTCATGGTGTCATACTAACATCATCTTCACTGAAAATGTAGAGTTAGGAAATTTGAATATATGGGACATGCAGCATTAACATCTGATTGCAGACTAAAAAAAATCTTATCACTCTAAATCCCAAACTCTTTCTTTACAGTGAAAGAGGTTGGAGAGAGATTTCTTTTAAAAATGTAATTTTGGGCCAACTTCTGTCCAGCCATTGTCCAATATTCACATAAAAATTGCTCAGGTGATCCTCACAAGATCAATTTCTTGATCAAGTGTTCTTTTCACCTGCCTTCTCTTTCCTGAGCAATCCATTAGTATGATTTTACATCAAGGTTACTCAGCTACATATCCAGGCACTTGCAGTTCAGTATCACATCTCTCCTGCCTCCTCCCTCTTTTTTTGAGGATTTTTTTCCGCTTCCTTTGACAAAGTGTTTCATAGAGAAATGCCTCTCTTGGGAAAG